CGGTATTTATGGTAAACTTTTGGGAGAGTTAGTTCTGGAGTTACTGGTTCTGTGGTAGTATGAGAGGAACGTGGTTCTTTTGAACAGCTTCTCCCTGCCTTCATATCAAGTCTCAACCAGGTCAATATCTTGGCACCCCAAACAGATTTTGGAAGTATGATTGAGCTGTATACTGGGGTGGGTGGAAAGGGATCAAACAGCATCTTTGAGGTATCTGTTCCTCACGACCTCACTGCTGATCGAATCCATGGAAGCTATCAAGGTGTTGTCTAAACTTTTGTGTGGACCTGTTAGGTGCTCACGCATCATCCAGAAACACTCCCAGTATCTCAGAGCCCTGCAGGGCAGAGAATATAGAAGGAGGACAGGCCAAGCAGTCAGGCGGGAACGTATTTTTGCTACGAAATACGCCTTTTACCCTTGGAAGATTGTGTAGAACCATTAATTTCCTACTAATCAGAAGAAATGGAGCGTTGAACCTGCTGTTACCCAAGCCTGTGGGTCCGAAGGTGAGCAAAGGCTGGTCACCAGGGGCACATAATTTATATCTTCTTTTTAATAAATAGCGGGAAACAATATATTCTGGGTCACTGCATATTCTGATAATAATCCAGAGACGCAAGTTTAGGAGACACTTGGAACACTCTAGGAAGGACCAGAGAATCTTCATTTGGAAGGTGGCGCTGTGGGTTAAACCACAGAGCCAAGGACTTGCGATCAGAAGGTCGGCGGTTCGAATCCCCGCGATGGGGTGAACTCCTGTTGCTCAGTCCCTGCTCCTAGCCAACCTATGCAGTTCGAAAGCACATCAAAGTGCAAGTAGATAAATAGGTACCACTCTGGCGGGAAGGTAACACGGCATTTCCGTGCGCTGCTCTGGTTTGCCAGAAGCGGCTTAGTCATGCTGGCCACACTGACCGGAGAGCTGTACGCCGGCTCCCTCAGCCAATAAAGCAAGATGAGCACCGCAACCCCAGAGTCGGCCATGACTGGACCTAATGGTCAGGGGTTCCGTAACCTTGTTATTTTTGTTTAGCAATAGAACAGGCACTGAATAGGAAACAGAATCACCTGAATGGTTCTGACTCGTGTACGTCCAAGGCTGCCCCTCGTATTCTTCCTTCCTTCAGGGCCTGTGCAAGTGCTTTTTCATCTACTAGCCCTCCTCGAGCCATGTTCACAAGGAAGGCTCCCTGTCGCATCTGCGGGAAGTTAAAATGCCGAGATTAAAAGTGTGTGAATAAAGTTGATGTTAGTAGAGGAACCAGCCGTCATTTGGAACAGCCTACACCAAAAAGTGGACCTCTTGCCTTACTACACACTGGAAAAATGCTACAAAAATCTTCTTATAAACCAAGCTTAAAAGGTGTAAATAGCCAAGCAAAACTGCATCTTTATCACGGTTAAACTGAACAACGCCCAGGGGGAAGAGCATCAAACAGATTAATTTTTGCATTTGACAGATGTTCGTCTGCGTTTAAATGCTATAATGTAGCCTAAGGCAATACTGAAAGCAAACCTTAAAAATATGGTTTAAAAATACTTTCCGTCTAGTTAACAGGACTTTAAAATGTGTGCCCTGTTGTACTGCACTGAAGTCAGATGACAATTTATGAAATTTAAGACTCGTGAGTCGCTGAAAGGAACTGCTGTGGCTTTTGGAGAAAGTGCACAGGCTGTTTCCTCTACCTTTCACAAGAAACTGAACTGATTTACTGCAAAAAAAAATTTTTTTTAAGGTAAAGTGAATAGAAATTACTAAAAACGAGACATGTGAAAACAAGCACCCATTAGCAAACAAAATGTGTTTGCTTACTGAGGCAACATTGTAATTTTCTACTTCCCTTAACATATCAATGGAAACACTTAAAGTTGTACCAAGTAGAACAGCACAGCTGTCGACATAAAAATAAGTGACATATTAATAAACTTATCAGAACACCTTTGCATTCCAAGATCCTTTAGGAAAAGCGGAAATATTTAATAAATTATAAAACTGACACAGACAATTGTAGCTTTCAGTAATATGTTTATGTCGATTTCCTGTTTCATCAAGACGTTTCATGGCTTTCAGAAACTTGCAAGCAAAACATATCCATAAACTATGCTAATGTAATTCAAGAAATGGCCAGCCCATAATGTTGAGATTCCTTGCTTGCTGAAACCCAATTAACTTGAAACCCAGAAAGCTGTAGAAACCAGTTTATGTGAAGCGTATGACCAGATAAAAGACAAATCATGAACTGCCTGAACAGAGAATCCATAGAATTAACTGCACAGCATATTCTGTTGGTTGCAATAAAGAAAAGTAAAGGTTTGTGGCACCTTAAAGATCAGAGCATTCATTTATACCAACATTCCTGCAGCACCATTTTTAAAAACAGAATCGGCACTGTAATTAATATAAAAAAAAGAATAAAACGACAATTTGAAGTACCTCATATGATTGCAGGAGCAGCAAGATAGCAACAGGTTAACTAATGCGTTTATATTTCTTTATTTGACATCCTGCTCTGTCCCATGGGATCAAGACATCTCAGAGAAGCTTTTCTAAATGTTAATACCTCGTTCCCTGGGAATCAAAGCACAACTCTAAAATCTAATGTGCCCTGAAAATGCCTGCTGAGATAAAGGTGGTTTTGCAACCTGCCTAAATAGAGGCCATGAAGCAGCCAGTGGCTATTCCATATTCTGTTCATCACAGCTGAAAAGCCCTTCTGCCCAGTCGCCAGACCTCTTAAAGTGGGGGGAGGGGACCCAGAAGTGGATTGAATTCTCATGTTCTCATGCAGGTTCACAGATGAAAAAGAGATTCCTGGAATTATTGCAGCACAAGCTTCCATGAACTAGGTGCCAATACATCAGGTGGATGGTCTGATTACAAAACCTCAGAGAAGTGGCTGCATAACACAATAGTTGTTGTTGTTGTTTTGTCGTTTCTGACACTTCGTGACCCCCTGGACCAGAGCACGCCAGGCACTCCTGTCTTCCACTGCCCCCCGCAGTTTGGTCAGACTCATGTTGGTAGCTTCGAGAACACTGTCCCACCATCTCGCCCTCTGTCGTCCCCTTCTCCTTGTGCCCTCCATCTTTCCCAACATCAGGGTCTTTTCCAGGGAGTCTTCTCTTCTCATGAGGTGGCCAAAGTATCGAAGCCTCAGCTTCAGGATCTGTCCTTCCAGTGAGCACTCAGGGCTGATTTCCTTAAGAATGGATAGGTTTGATCTTCTTGCAGTCCATGGGACTCTCAAGAGTCTCCTCCAGCACCATAATTCAAAAGCATCAATTCTTTGGCGATCAGCCTTCTTTATGGTCCAGCTCTCACTTCCATACATCACTACTGGGAAAACCATGGCTTTAACTATACGGACCTTTGTTGGCAAGGTGACGTCTCTACTTCTCAAGATGCTGTCTAGGCCTGTCATTGCCCTTCTCCCAAGAAGCAGGCGCCTTTTAATTTCGTGGCTGCTGTCACCATCTGCAGTGATCATGGAGCCCAAGAAAGTAGAATCTCTCACTGCCTCCATTTCTTCCCCTTCTACTTGCCAGGAGGTGATGGGCCCAGTGGCCATGATCTTAGTTTTTTTGATGTTGAGCTTCAAACTATATTTTGCGCTCTTCTCTTTCACCCTCATTAATAGGTTCTTTAATTCCTCCTCATTTTCTGCCATCAAGGTTGTGTCATCTAGGATGCAACTAATTGCAAGACTGCCTTTATTCTGTAGTTCTGCCTACAGAACTAAGAAATGGTTGTTTTGATTGGCAAGCATCCACTTCTGATAATGCAAGTTCAATAAAAACTAAGTTACGGGCTGTAAATGCTATGGGTGATCTGCAAACGTTTAAGTTGAAAGTCCAAAATTATTTCAAGTACTCTCCTCCGCCAGTAGCCGGACAAATAAATTGGGATGGGTTACGCTTGTGAGTATTAGCACTGAACACAAGGGGGCAGCAGCCACTTAATCTACGAATTGAGATGTGCAGAAATTTTATCAGAAGGCAACTTTTCAGTTCATGAGTAAACAAAGATCCACGTGATTAAACTGCAGTGGTAGGATGTGACATTCTTCACCAAGTAGAACCTATTACTAGGACAGAAGGCAGACAAAATTGATACCTGGTTGCATGGCAGAACCGCTCGCCTCTCAATATACGCTGTAACAATATATCTGCAATATGGCGATGACATCTTTGGTCTGCCTCGCAAGGCTGTTGTAAGTATCTCTAAGGCGATGTTGGTGACGTGCTTAGAACACACAAAAATTGCTACGTAAATGTTAACTCTTATCGTCACTGTGACATTATCCGAAACGTACCTGTTTAATGGTGAAGTCGTTAATAAGGTGATGGTTGTGTTCGTTTAGGCTGCAGTGGAGGGTGACGCAGTCGCTGTGAAACAACAAATCCTGCAAAGTCGTCACCCGCTGAAGTCCAAGAGCACGTTCCATGCCATCTGAGAGGTACGGGTCGTAGAAAATGACATTGAAGCCAAAGGCTTTTGCACGTAGTGCAACTGCTTGACCAACTCGTCCTGCGGGGAGGGGGAGAATTTTTTTGTCTTGCAACAAATATTGTTGAGGCAGGTATAAATCAACCCACCCATTCATGTAGATGGGGATTGGATGCAATGTTAAACTACTGTATTTTTCGCTCTATAAGACGCACCAGACCACAAGACGCACCTGGTTTTTGGAGGAGGAAAACAAGAAAAAAAATATTCTGAATCTCAGAAGCCAGAACAGCAAGAGGGATCGCTGCGCAGTGAAAGCAGCAATCCCTCTTGCTGTTCTGGCTTCTGGGATAGCTGCGCGGCCTGCATTCGCTCCATAAGACGCACACACATTTCCCCTTACTTTTTAGGAGGGAAAAAGTGAGTCTTATAAGGAAAAGGTTTTGCTTCTGCTTTCAATTAACCATGGTTTATTATCATTATCCCCAAAGCTGAATCTTAAATATGGTTTAGGACAGTGTTTTTCAATTGTGGGTCCCACCTGCGGCTAAGCTGGCTGAGGATATTGTCCAACAACATTTGGTGACCCAAAGCTGAAGAACACTGGTTTAGCAGAATCGTAAACCAAGGTTTAATGTTTGCTTCTTTCCCTAAACCATAGTTAAGAATATCCAGTTTATCTGGGTCCAAGGATAACACGTGGCCATAATTAGTTGCAAAACCTTCCTATCTACTCCTCCGCATGGTTGCAGAGGAAGAAGAGAAGGGAGCTCACAAAGCAGAGGGCCATTCATATTATGCTAAGCCATAGTTTAGTGTTACGTCAGAATGAGGTCGCAGAGTACGTACACAGTAGTCCAACTTAAAGAGTTCTAATGAAACATGGAGAAGAGAAATTTCCAGTTCCATTAGGAAAACATCACTGTTACTCTTCCACTACTCCCCAGACTTTGTGTAGGCTCTCGCCCACTATGGTTCAACAAACTTGTTTCTGCTACGGAGTGACAAGGCGGTTCTGGAATACATTTTAGAAATGAACTACTGAGCAAAATACAGTGGTACCTCGGTTTACAAACTTAATCCGTTCCTGAAGTCCATTCTTAAACCGATTCCATTCTTAAACCGAGGCGCGCTTCGCCTAATGAGTCCTCCCACCACCGGTGCCCTTCCACAGTTTGGTTTCCGCTTGTAGACCAAGGTTAAGTTCGCAAACACTACTTCCGGTTTTGCGAAGTTCGTAAACCGAATCGTTCATAAACAGGACTATTCTTAAAACAAAAAAAATTCCTTCCAGTAGCACCTTAAAGACCAACTAAGTTAGTTCTTGGTATGAGCTTTCGTGTGCATGCACACTTCTTCAGTGTATCTGAAGAAGTGTGCATGCACACGAAAGCTCATACCAAGAACTAACTTAGTTGGTCTTTAAGGTGCTACTGGAAGGAATTTTTTTTTTGTTTTGACTATGGCAGACCAACACGGCTACCTATCTGTAACTAGGACTATTCTTATCGTTCATAAACAGGACTATTCTTAAACCGAGGTACCACTGTAGAGAGGTAGATATCTGGTCCTGGTAACGCAGACAACAGGTTTGGAGCATCTTAGGGCACTAGCTAACCCAGGGCAGCGATTCTAAATAGGACACCATCATCCTTACCAGTTTGTTAGGGTCCCGATTAGCCTTAAGCCACAACAATGGATGCATTTAACTAACAAACAGACTTTATCTTCAAAGAGCAGAGAGCAGGACAACAGGATGGGCCTACCTAACCCAATAATGCCCAGGGTCTCCCCTCGGATTCTTGCAGCCCCAGAAGCCACTTCCCGGATCTGCTCCACGCTCTGCACCCTCGTGCCTTCTCGCAAGGCCTGATGAAGCCAGGTGGTTCGTCTGTACAGGTTCAAGATGTGGCACATTGTAGAGTCCGCTGTCTCTTCCACGGATGCAGCCGGAACATTGCACACTGCAATCCCTTAAAGAATAATTAGAAAAAAACACAATGTGTTGAATCCTAGGGTGGCTCCAGAATGCCACGGAATCCGCCCCCAGCATCTTTATGAATTCAACCAGCCCCTGGCCCTCAGAGATGTTGGAAAGACATATACTATTAAGCACCTAAAGCAGGCATAGGCAAACTCGGCCCTCCAGATGTTTTTGGGACTACAATTCCCATCATCCCTGACCACTGGTCCAGTTAGCTAGGGATGATGGGAGTTGTAGTCCCAAAACAGCTGGAGGGCCGAGTTTGCCTATGCCTGACCTAAAGCAAGACTATGCACCTTTCCAACGATTAAAAAATGAACAGCCCCCACCTGCTGCTTCAACCATCTAAAACAAGTCATGCATCAGAAAAGCGCAAGTGGGGTTGTGGAATAAACTCTTGCTTTGGGTAGGGCAGGGGAGAGTGGAGCTGGATGTCAGCAGTTGCTCCAGGGATGGGACCAAGGCTCACTTGCCAGAATTTAGTTTCTAGAATGCTCCAAGGTTGTGATCCAGGCGTAGCTGACCTGTGGTCTTCCAGACCTGGGCTGGCACCAATGGTTCGGCATGCTCAGGCATCTGCTGAGGGCTCAAGAACCCTCCATGACGTGGGGCGGTGAGGAGCTGGGAGTCATGGAGGTGGATGGGAGGTGGCATGGAGGATGCCTTGCCCAAGAGCCCTTCAAAATCCAGAGCCAACACTGCTCCAGATCACAGAGTTTGGAAGGGACCACAAGGATCATTTAGTTCAATCCCCCAGAGTGCAAGAATCTTTGGCCCAATGTGGGGCTCAAACATACAGCCCTGGGTTAAGAATCTCATGCTTGGTCCTGTATACCTGAAGGAGCGTCTCCACCCCCATCGTTCTGCCCGGACACTGAGGTCCAGCGCCGAGGGCCTTCTGGCGGTTCCCTCGCTGCAAGAAGCCAAGTTACAGGGAACCAGGCAGAGGGCCTTCTCGGTAGTGGCGCCCGCCATGTGGAATGCCCTCCCGCCAGATGTCAAAGAGAACAACAAGTACCAGACTTTTAGAAGACATCTGAAGGCAGCCCAGTTTAGGGAAGTTTTTAATGTTTAATAGGTTATTGTATTTTAATATTCTGTTGGAAGCCGCCCAGAGTGGCTGGGGAAACCCAGCCAGATGGGTAGGGTGTAAATACAGTGGTGCCTCGGGTTAAGTACTTAATTCGTTCCAGGGGTCCGTTCTTAACCTGAAACTGTTCTTAACCTGAAGCACCACTTTAGCTAATGGGGCCAACTGGAGTACCATTACTTGAGTTACAGTGGTACCTCGGGTTAAGTACTTAATTCCTTCCGGAGGTCCGTTCATAACCTGAAACTGTTCTTAACCTGAAGCACCACTTTAGCTAATGGAGCCTCCCGCTGCTGCCACCCCACCGGAGCACGATTTCTGTTCTCATCCTGAAGCAAAGTTCTTAACCCGAGGTACTATTTCTGGGTTGGCGGAGTCTGTAACCTGAAGCGTATGTAACCTGAAGTGTATGTAACCCGAGGTACCACTGTATTAACTTAATTTCAAATACAGAGTACCACAATTAAGTGCAACCTACAAACATGTCAGCAAAGTTTGAACACCAACCCCCTTCGGTTTCTACATAAAATTTCACAGACGTGAATTAACAACATACCTAAATCGCCAGCAGACTTAATATCAATGTTATCAAAACCACTTCCAATTCTAACGATTATTCGAAGTGCTTTAAACTTCTCCAGGTCTTCACGGGTTAAAGTGATGGTGTGGTACATCAGGGCACCCACTGCTTCATTTAGTACCTGGAAAACAAAGGCAGACACAATTCAGTTACGTTCTCAACATGCCCTCCAGAATCCCAATTCCTGCGGTACACGCCTCCAATAGTCTGGTCATCTCTCAAGGGAGAATTTCAAGGTGCAGTTGCAGCAGAGTGGGTAGCAAAATGATTGCCTGAGACTTACTGTTCACAAATGCTACTATATTTTGCTAGTTCCCCCTGGGAGGTGAGAGGGACGCGGGTGGTGCTGTGGGTTAAACCACAGAGCCTAGGACTTGCCGATCAGAAGGTCGGCGGTTCGAATCCCCGCAACGGGGTGAGCTCCCGTTGCTCGGTCCCTGCTCCTGCCAACCTAGCAGTTCGAAAGCAAGCCAGTGCAAGTAGATAAATAGGTACCGCTCCGGCGGGAAGGTAAACGGTGTTTCCGTGAGCTGCTCTGGTTCGCCAGAAGTGGCTTAGTCATGCTGGTCACATGACCCGGAAGCTGTATGCCGGCTCCCTCGGCCAATAAAGCGAGATGAGCGCTGCAACCCCAGAGTTGGTCACGACTGGACCTAATGGTCAGGGGTCCCTTTACCTTTTACCTGGGAGGTGCACTAGGCAGGAACAAGGTCTATGGAATGGGCAGAGAGTGGGTGCAATAACCCAGGAGCATCAATGGCATGTCGCTGCATACACCCATAATAAAATGGCAGTCTGAACGGGCCCTTGCTTATTATTCATTGTTAATCACAAGTAACACCGAAGCGTAAGAGTTTAGCCAACGGCTGAACACATTGTCAGCCCTGAGACTTCAATGGAGAAACCAGGCTGCAACGCAATGTGCTCATACACGTCATACACTCTCTGAATGCAATGGCGCCTACTTCTGAAGAGACAGTGTACAGGATTGTACACTTACTTTCTTTGTGCTGCTTTAAACTGGCAAAATAGGGACGCGGGTGGCGCTGTGGGTTAAACCACAGAGCCTAGGGCTTGCCGATCAGAAGGTCGGCGGTTCGAATCCCTGTGACGGTGTGAGCTCCCATTGCTCAGTCCCTGCTCCTGCCAACCTAGCAGTTCGAAAGCACGTCAGAGCGCAAGTAGATAAATAGGTACGTCTCCGGCAGGAAGGTAAACGGCGTTTTTGTGCGCTGCTCTGGTTCGCCAGAAGTGGCTTCGTCATGCTGACCACATGACCCGGAAGCTGTACGCCGGCTCCCTCGCCCAACACAGCGAGATGAGCGCCGCAACCCCAGAGTCGGCCACAACTGGACCTAATGGTCAGGGGTCCCTTTACCTTTACCTTTAACCTGGCAAAATACCATGGATTAAGATGTTATGTACTTGGTAATCTGACTGCTCTGGACCCGGTGCCCACCAACAGTCTGAGGTTTCGTTTTAGCATCATGGCAAATCTCAAGCCATTTATCAGGTTTCACTGAACTTGAGTGTACCCTAGTTGTTTAAGGCAAGAAAAAAGCCTTTGGGGAAATAAGGCAAAATAGAAAAATAGAGCCAAAGCAATGGAAGTGTTTTCTTGTGGAGCTATTAGCACTGTGGAGAAACGGTTGTTCCTTTCTGATCCTTTAACTTTTACTAAAAAGCGTAACACAAATAAAACTACCAAAAGGAAGTTCCCATCCCTACCTATCCCACCAGTCCTTCGAAGTAAACTAACTCTAGAGATAGGCATTATGCAAAGAGCTCCAAAGCGAGCCAAGACTTTATGTTCCAAAACATCATCTGGTATCAATTTATACAAGAGGCATCTAAGGTCACAAAGAATTTCCCATCAGCTCTCCAATAAGTGGTCGCCTGGCAAGAGCTTCTCTTGCTGTCAATAGTTTCCTTATTTCTCAAAAAGAGTAACAACAACAAAAAACACCTCTATAAGGATCAAAATTGCCATAAGCACATCCAGTGGCACAACTGGTACCAATTAGGGTTTTGCTATCTCCCATTCCACCTTGTTCCCATCAAACTGTTGATGCAGCCACTGACACCATCAACCATAACATCCTTCTGGACCGTCTTGGGGGGCTGGGAGCTGGGGGCACATACAGTGGTTTCGCTCCTTCCTCCTGGGCCGTGTCCAGAAAGTGGTGATGGCGGATGAGTGTTCAGACCCCTGGGCTCTCACTTGTGGGATGCCTCAGGGTTCTGTCCTCTCCCCCATGCTTTTCAACATCTATATGCAGCCGCTGGGAGAGATCATCAGGGGATTTGGGCTGGGTGTTCATCAGTATGCAGATGATAACCAGCTCTACCACTCCTTCAAATCAGAACCAGTGAAGGCGGTGAAGGTCCTGCGTGAGTGTCTGGAGGCGGTTGGAGGATGGATGGCGGCTAACAGATTGAGGTTGAATCCTGACAAGACAGAAGTACTGTTTTGGGGGGACAGAGGGCGAGTGGGTGTGGGAGACTCCCTGGTCCTGAATAGGGTAACTGTGCCCCTGAAGGACCAGGTACACAGCCTGGGAGTCATTTTGGACTCACAGCTGTCCATGGAGGCGCAGGTCAATTCTGTGTCCAGGGCAGCTGTTTATCAACTCCACCTGGTACACAGGCTAAGACCCTACCTGCCCGCAGACTGTCTCGCCAGAGTGGTGCATGCTCTAGTTATCTCCCACTTGGACTACTGCAATGCGCTCTACGTGGGGCTACCTTTGAAGGTGACCCGGAAACTGCAATTAATCCAGAATGCGGCAGCTAGACTGGTGACTGGGAGTGGCCACCGAGACCACATAACACCGGTCCTGAGAGATCTGCATTGGCTCCCAGTACGTTTCCAAGCACAATTCAAAGTGTTGGTGCTGACCTTTAAAGCCCTAAACGGCCTCAGTCCTGGATACCTGAAGGAGCGTCTCCACCCCCATCGTTCAGCCCGGACACTGAGGTCCAGCGCCGAGGGCCTTCTGGCGGTTCCCTCACTGCGAGACGTGAGGTTACAGGGAACCAGACAGAGGGCCTTCTCAGTAGTGGCGCCCACCCTGTGGAACACCCTCCCTTCAGATGTGAAGGAAATAAGCAGCAATGCTATCTTCAAAAGACATCTGAAGGCAGCCCTGTTCAGGGAAGTTTTTAATATTTAACGCTGTATGTTTTTAACACTTGATTGGGAGCCGCCCAGAGTGGCTGGGGAAACTCAGCCAGATGGGCGGGGTATAAATAATTTATTATTATTATTATTATTATTATTATTATTATTATTATTATTATTATTATTATTATTATACAGAAGAGATGAATAGGATTGGCTGCTAGGCTTAATGCACACCCATGGCTGCTCTCCATTCTTCAGCAGAAGTTCTCCTTTGCCTCTTATTTTGGCTGTCAACTTTACCTGCACCCAAGAGGCTGAAGAAAGCCTACAGCTTGTTTCAGAAAAGCAAAAGAAAGCATAGCATGGGAGCTCCCCCAAAATATAAACTCTTTCCCCCTAGGGACTCCCACCCAGCGGGACGTGCATTAAAGGAGCACTTTACAAATCAATCGTATCTTCTGCACAGGCCTCCTTTCTTCACATTTTAGCCCTAAGCTTCCAGATGGCTCACTAAAAGCTCTTGAGATGGCGCACAAAACACATGAAAATAATGTACCATATTAAGGGCAGTGCTTTTTTTTGGGGGGGGGAGGTGCCAGTCCTCACATTTTGATAAATTATAAAATGCCTCTCTTCCCTTCCCTACTGAACTTGTGACAAACGTTTAATTAAAATGTGGATAATAAAAATCAAAAATACGAAATAAAACCCGAAATGGTTAACATTTTTTGAAACCGCGTTTATTGCTTTGACTGATAAAGAATTAAAAACTGTGAATAGTGCCAAGGGCACCGGTCATAAAAAGGCCACCGCGGGATGTGTCTTCTGCGAAGGCAAAGCATTGCACAAAATAAAGAGGGTTGTTGCTGATTGTCTTCGTCCAATCTCATGTTTACCATGGAAAGTCAGTGCTATGTCCTCTATTTGTGATAATCACGCAATATTGATTTTCTAAACACATACACACACACACACACGGGGGGGGGGAGATAAGCTGTTACTACCGTGGTGCCCCCAACTGCGCTTGTGGCTCCGGAAGAGACACTTACAGATGGTGAGGCTTCACCTACACCTCCCTCGCAAACTGCCAGCGTGGAGCCGAACCAAGCCGCTTCAGAGGGTCTGCCAGACTTACCACAGGCTCAGACCACTCCACTTGCGGAGGCTCCACCCACAACAGCGGATCCAGGGGATTTGGTTTCAACGCCACCTAGGGTCGCACCACAGTCTCAGCAAGAATTGTGTGGCCCCCCGGACTTGGCTACCAGTCCCCGGCGGTCTGGCAGAGTTTCCAAGTGCCCAACTTATTTAAAGGACTATGTTGTGGGACATGTATCACTGTTGGTCTAAGTATGGGAAATGTAACCGATATGCTTTGTGCCTAATTGAACCATTACGTGTAGTGCTGTATATAAGGAAACCATTACGATTGTAACTAACGTCTTATCTCGGTGGGGAGGGGTGTTATGTATTGAAGTTCTCACCCTGGGCCAGCAGTATTGTGTATGTAGTTTTCACTCAGGTCCACGTCAGTTATTTTAGGTGGGAAACCCTGGGTTGTTGTTGCTACATTGTTGACAGCCGGCTGCCTATAAAAGCAGGCTGGCTGAGCTGTTTGCTGTTCAGTTCTGTCCAGCTTACAAATAAAGAGCTGGCTGTGTCGTCTGCTATGTTCGCCCACAACTTAACACTTGTCTACACCCCAGCATTGCAGGGGGTTGGTCTAGACGGGATTCCTTCCAACTCTACAATTCTACGACTTGTCTGAGAGGCCCTGATTCGCTGCCCGCCCAAATAAAAAAACTACCATATTTTTCGCTCTATAGGACGCACTTTTCCTCCTCCAAAAATGAAGGGGAAATGTGTGTGCGTCCTATGGAGCGAATGCAGGCTTTCGCTGAAGCCTGGAGAGCGAGAGGGGTCAGTGCGCACCGACCCCTCTCGCTCTCCAGGCTTCAGGCAGCTATCCACAAGCCTTCGGAGCGCAGCGGGAGTTCCCGCCGGGCTCCAAAGGCTTGCAGATAGTAGCCTGAAGCCCGGGGAGTGCAGCGCCAACTTGCGCTGCGCTCCCCGGGCTTCAGGCAACTATCCGCAATCTGCGGAGATATCCGCAGAAGCTATGTCTTGGCTTCTGCCAAAGCCGCGCACAGCCTCTCCCGGCTGGAGAGGTTGTGCGTGGCTAAAGAGGAAGCCAAGACAGCCAGTGGGATGGATCCCGCTCGCTGTCTTGGCTTCTTTGCTCTTTGGGGCTGGGGGAGGAGGGGAATACATTTTTTTTCTTTATTCTCCCCCCCTAAAAACTAGGTGCGCCCTATGGAGTGAAAAATACGGTAGGTAGGAGAAATAGTGCAATGCTGAACATTCTCCCTTCTCTGAATTAGGAAACTGAGTGCGCTTATCTTCAGGAAAAATGAGGTCTGGCCTATGGTAGTCTTGGATTTAAAGGTCAGTCGCCCATATTGGAGTGGAAACATTTGAGTGTTTCTGACGAGCTACAATCTGAAGCAAGTTATCCTGTGAGATGCTGCCAACATCTTTGGTGAAATCTTCCATCTATTAGAGGAAACAAACCTGACATTTCTCTGAAAAGGTCAGCTATTAGCAGTTTATAGAAATTACACTAATTTATTTGGTAGGGAACCTTTTTTTATTATGAGACCTCACAGATAGATCCGAATCTATAGTTCAATACAGTGGTGCCCCGCAAGACGAATGCCTCGCAAGACGGAAAACCCGCTAGACGAAAGGGTTTTCCGTTTTGGAGGTGCTTCGCAAAACGAATTTCCTATGGGCTTGCTTCGCAAGACGAAAATGTCTTCAGAGTTCCTGCGGGGTTTTTTTCCTCCCCCCCCTTTTCCCCAAGCCGCTAAGCCGCTTATCAGCTGATCCGCTAAGCCGCTTAACAGCTGATCCGCTAAGCCGCTTAACAGCTGATCCGCTAAGCCGCTTAACAGCTGATCGCTAAGCCGCTTAACAGCTGATCCGCTAAGCCTGCTAAGCCGCTAATAGCGCTAATCCGCTAAGCCGCTAATGGGCTTGCTTCGCAAGACGAAAAAAACCGCAAGACGAAGAGACTCGCGGAACGGATTCTTTTTGTTTTGCGAGGCACCACTGTACTAGTTCAAATTTATTCTGCAGAGACACCGGCCATTTATGTGTTGGGCTGTTCAAAAAAGCAAATGTTTACCGTTCTTACAACACGTTTCATATGTTTAAAAAATGTACACTGTCCCAATGGCCTCTAAGAAACTCTCTGCAAGGCCAGCATTGCTATAAATTGGGATGGGTCTTATTTTCAGCCTGAGGGCAACTTTCTTCCTCAAAGGCAAGCTTCTGGGAGTTGCAGGCTAGTGGTGAGCAGTGCCAAAGGCAAAAAAGGGCCACAGAAGCACCAAGCGGCACTGATATTTGTAGAGTGGGCTATATTCCAGCCACCCAGAAGTCATAGGTTTATAAACACAAAACCCCATTTCCATCCTCTATCCAGGCAAGTAGTAAAGGTAAAGGAACCCCTGACCATTAGGTCCAGTCATGGCCGACTCTGGGGTTGCGACGCTCATCTCGCTTTATTGGCCGAGGGAGCCGAAATACAACTTCCGGGTCATGTGGCCAGCATGACTAAGCCGCTTCTGGCGAACCAGAGCAGCGCACGGAAACGCCGTTTACCTTCCCGCCGGAGCGGTACCTATTTATCTACTTGTACTTTGACGTGCTTTCAAACTGCTAGGTTGGCAGGAGCTGGGACCGAGCAATGGGAGCTCACCCCATCGCGGGGATTCAAACCGCCAACCTTCTGATTGGCAAGTCCTAGGCTCTGTGGTTTAACCCACAGCACCACCCTTTTATCCAGGCAAGTAACAGGCCCTAATCACAGTTCAGGAATGCATTCCAGACAAGCAAACGCACTACAAGAGGGTCCTGAGAGTGGCTGTGGCCTGAGGAGAGTTGAGAAGAATAGAATAGAATAATAGAATAGAATAGAATAGAATAGAATAGAATAGAATAGAATAGAATAGAATAGAATTTATTACAGTGGTGCCTCGCAAGACGAAATTAATCTGTTCCGCAAGTCTCTTCGTCTTGCGGTTTTTTCGTCTTGCGAAGCACGGCTATTAGCGGCTTAGCGGCTATTAACGGCTTAGCGGCTATTAACGGCTTAGCAGCTTTAAGAAAAAGGAAACAAACTCGCAAGAACTCGCAAGATGTTTCGTCTTGCGAAGCAAGCCCATAGGGAAATTCGTCTTGCGGAACGACTCAAAAAACGGAAAACTCTTTCGTCTTGCGCGTTTTTCGTCTTGCGAGGCATTCGTCTTGCGAGGTACCACTGTATTTATAGCCCGCCCATCTGGCTGGGTTTCCCCAGCCACTCTGGGCGGCTTCCAACTGAGTATTAAAATACAGTGGTCTGTTAAACATTAAAAGCTTCCCTAAAGAGGGCTGCCTTCAGATGTCTTCTAAAAATCTGGTAGTTGTTGTTCTCTTTGACACCTGGTGGGAGGGCGTTCCACAGGGCAGGTGCCACTACCAAGAAGGCCCTCTGCCTGGTTCCCTGTAACCAAGAAGGCCAGGAACTGGTACAGAGGGGTGCATTTGGCCTCTGGTTCCCCGTCCCTGAAATCATTCAAGCACATACATGACTCTTGGAAGACCTAGAGGGATCATCAACAAAGCAGACTTTCTGGTTTTGCACTCATAACCCCTAGCTCAGTTTAGAACCCTTCTCCTGTTATTGTTGCAACTGGTGGGAGCAACCACCAAACCATTCAACAAGGAAAGAGAGCACCTGGTATTGGCAGCTCGTAGCCAGGGCTGGCTTCCCCAGTCTGAAAGGGCATGCCACCACAGCCAGGATATCTGAGAGTCCTAAATATTTACAGTTGTACCTTGGATCTCGAATGCCTTGGTACTCGAACATTTTGTCTCCCAAACACCTGGAAGTGACTGTTCCGGTTTGCAAACTATTTTTGGAAGCCAAACGTCTGACAGGGCTTCCGCAGCTTCCGATTGGCTGCAGGAGCTTCCTGCAGCCAACCAGAAGCCACACTTTGGTTTCCGAACGTTTCGGAAGTCGAACGGACTCCCGGAAAGGATTCCGTTCGACTTCCAAGGTACGACTGTATTAGTTAAGCTTAAGGTCAGGCTTCCTCAACCTCAGCCCTCCATATGTTTTGAGACTACAATTCCCAGCATCCCTGACCACTGGTCCTGCTAGCTAGGGATCATGGGAGTTGTAGGTCAAAAACATCTGGAAGGCCAAGGCTGAGGAAGCCTGCTTAAGGTTGTTGTTGTTTTTTACCATTTTTGAGATTTGCCAGGATGGACACAGTGCACTTCTAACCAGGGCTGTATACTCCTCTGCGCATTATCTGTAAAACAGCTTGCCATTTCAGATTATCCTTTTAGGTGCTGCACAGAAAATGGGGAAAGTGGTAGTGCTACATGGTGTTCACAATACCGTATTTTTCGCTCTATAGGACACACTTTTCCCCCTCCAAAAACGAAGGGGAAATGTGTGTGCGTCTTATGGAGCGAATGCAGGCTCCTTGGCTTCAGCGATAGCAACGCGAAGCCTCCGAAGCGCAGAGGGAGAGCTCCCCCCAAGCTCCGGAGGCTTTGCATTGCTTTTGCTGCGCTCTGGGGGCTTCAGGCAGCTATCCGCAAGCCTTCAGAGTGCAGCAGGAGTTCCCGCTGAGCTCCGAAGGCTTGCGGATAGCCGTCTGAAGAGTGAGAGGGGTCAGTGCACACCGATCCCTCTTGCTCTCCAGGATTCACTTCGCTGGAGAGGCGCTGCACAGTTTCCCCCCTCTGCTCCGTTTCTCCTGCCGCTTCACTGAAGGGGCACTGAGCAGAGAGGGGGAGAATTCCCCCCCCCCGTTCTCCCCCTCCTATGGTCCAGTGTGTCCTATAGAGCGAAAAATACGGTACTTAGACGGGTAATTTAAATAAATGTTCAGCTGCACCTTTTCATGAATTTCTTGCGTGGACTGTGCATCGCAAAACGCAACAGTGGCAACGTCCTTCAGGATTGGCATTTCCACTGTGCAGTCCCGGCCATCCAGCAGTGCTACCAAGGGACGCGGGTGCATGGGCCCATTCATGATTGGTGGTCGAATGCCTGAAACAAAAAGGGGAAACGGTGTTTTATACACATGCGAAGTAACATCTCCAAGTGAAATACTGTAAACAAAATATCTTTCTTGAACAGCTTACGGGTCATCAGAAGCAATGACCAGGGTTGGCAGAGAGACTGAATTCTGACTAGCTGAAGTGAAGAAAAAAGGTACAGTGTTACCTCGGGTTAAGTACCCGGGGGTCCGTACTTAACCTGAAACTGTTCTTAACCTGAAGCACCACTTTAGCTAATGGGGCCTCCCGCTGCCGCCCTGTCGCTGGAGCACGATTTCTGTTCTCATCCTGAAGCAAAGTTCTTATCCTGAGGTAATATTTCTGGGTTAGCGGAGTCTGTAACCTGAGGTACCACTGTATTTAGTCGCTGGCAGACCTTTAAAAGCGACTTCTTTTGAAGCCATATAAGAAAATGGAAATAATAGAATCACCTCAAATCCCAGACTATGTACTTCAGGATAGTGAAACTGCAAAGACACGATACAAAGAGGCACCAAGAATATTCTCTTGCTGCACTTATTTCATGTATAGAGCCACTCGCCCCCAATGCCGGATTTACGTACAGTGGACGCTCGTGTTGCGAACGTGATCCGTGCGGGAGGCACATTCGCAACCCGCAGCGTCCGCAACCTGCAGCACCGCATCTGCGCGCGAGCAGGTTGCGATTCGGCACTTCTGCGAATAGCGCGATTTAGCGATTCTGCACATGCGCGAGCGCCGAAACCCAGAAGTAACCCGTTCCGGTACTTTCGGATTTCGGTGTGTCCATAACCCCAAAACGCGCAACCTGAAGCGTCTGTAACCTGAGGTATGACTGTATAACCTAAACAAGCTAGAGCTTAGGGCCCCACTCTCTTGGGGGGTTCAAAAAAATTTAAAGGGGAAAAAACCTGGATGTACATTTCCAAAATATAAGATAAAAAACAAATAAAATAAAATTACTTTGATAAAATATATATTTTGTTATGTGCAAATGCCTTTAGATACCTATTAGGTCCATAAATTACGATATAGTATGTTCAACACAAAAAACAGTGGCAATTTGTTGTTGACAAAGGACAGCTGGACATTATAAAGGGCCCCATTACCTTCAGTAGCTTAGGGCCTCATTAAACCTAAATCCGGCCCTGCTCTCCCCAACACCTGGAGAACTAAAAATTCCCTTCAGGTGACTAGACATTGAAACATTGCCCATAATGGCACATGCGGGCAAGCAGGCTAGGGACTTGGGTGGACTTATTTACAAGCCTCGCAATAAAGAGATGCTTCAGCTCTTGTAAATGATATTTTAGTAGGATTCCTGTCATGAGAGATTAAAGGTAAAGGTACCCCTGCCCGTACGGGCCAGTCTTGACAGACTCTAGGGTTGTGCGCCCATCTCACTCAAGAGGCTGGGGGCCAGCGCTGTCCGGAGACACTTCCGGGCGTGACCAGCGTGACAAAGCTACATCTGGCGAGCCAGCGCAGCACACGGAAACGCCGTTTACCTTCCCGCTAGTAAGTGGTCCCTATTTATCTACTTGCACCCGGGGGTGCTTTCGAACTGCTAGGTTGGCAGGCGCTGGGACCGAGCAACGGGAGTGCAACCCGCCGCGGGGATTCGAACCGCCAACCTTTCGATCAGCAAGCCCTAGGCGCTGAGGCTTTTACCCACAGCGCCACCCGCGTCCATGAGAGATTACCTAGTCGTTATTTAACACTCACTGCCCTCCCCCAAAACCCACAGACATACTTTGCCGCACAATAAGCTGGCATACACGACAGAATGAAAAAAAATGAATAACCAAAGAGGACAATTGGTGATATTCCTGTTTGTGGTTATACTACATTTAATTAGTGAAGACTATTCACTTTAAAAGCTTCATTTTGAATTCTTATGACCAGAGGGGAGATTTTCCTGCAGTGCCATAATGCACTGATCTGTGGCACTACGGTATAAAACCAGCCTAATTAAATAAGAACAAAATTTATTTTGCTTATTTGTAAAAAGAAAGAAAGAACACTCCAGGCACAAGCGGTTTTATGAGTCTTCTACAATCACACTCTGATTGGGGAAAAGCAGGTATGGTTGATGAAGCTTACGGAACCAGAGGCAACAGCTGCTCAGAACCAGCACCGCACCCAACCATGTCCAACTTTCCCAATTTCATTGAGCTCCTGAGAATAACAGAATCATAGAACTGTAGAGTTGGAAGGGAGCCTGAGGATCATCTAGTCCAACCCCCTGAAATGCAGGAATATGCATCTATCCCATACGGGGCTCGAACCTGCAACCTTGGCGTTCTCAGCACCAACCAACTGAGGAAGACACCCATGCACAAATTCAACAGGGCTTTGTATGTTTTGTTGCTGTTATGTTAATGTTGTTTTATAGATATGAATGCTGTCGTGCTTTGTGAATCTTATACCATGATTTTTGGTGTAACTGTGATGTTTAGCTTATTTTTCAGTTGTTCTGTTAATAGTGTTACACAGATGGTAATTGTTTTATTTGTGATTTGTGAATGTTTTACTGATGATTTGTTCGGTATTCTATACAATTTATGCTGTATTCGTGATGTTCCATTATGTTATTTTTATCTTTTGTTTCTAAGCTGCTTTGGGATTTATTTGAATAAGAAGCAGCATAGAAATAGAATAATAATAATAATTCTCTGTATTCAGTATATCTAAAGGAGCGTCTCCACCTCCATCGTTCTGACCGGACACTGAGGTCCAGCTCCGAGGGCCTTCTGGCAGTTCCCTCGCAGCAAGAAGCCAAGTTACAGGGAACCAGGCAGAGGGCCTTCTCGGTAGTGGCACCCGCCCTGTGGAACGCCCTCCCACCAGATGTCAAAGAGAACAACAACTACCAGACTTTTAGAAGACATCTGAAGGCAGCCCTGCTTAGGGAAGCTTTTAATGTTTGATGTATTATAGTATTTTAATATTTTTTTTGGAAGCCGCCCAGAGTGGCTGGGGAAGCCCAGCCAGATAGGCAGAGTATAAATAATAAATAAAATAACAACAGCAACAACCTCAGCCAGACATGAAGCCAAGTGAGCAGAGCTAGTTCCTCAATCTGTCTTTCCCAGAGCTAGGTATGAGGAATTTTTTCAACATAGTTTCAGTTTAATATAGTGCAAACATGCAATTATGGGTTAAGCAGAGCTAATCGTGGATTCTTAACAGTGCTTTCGGAACCTAGTTAGCTGCCCAGATTTGACGGCTGTTAAGATACCTGGGCAAATGCGGTTCGTATTCTGCAATTTGTCATGTTTAGGATGGGCAACACATGTGAATGACCAAGATGAGTGAGGTTAAGTGAGGCCCAAGGTCACCCAGCAGCTGCATGTGGAGGAGCAGGGAATTGAACCCGGTTCACCAGATTACGAGTCCACTGCTCTTAACCACTACACCACACAGCAAGAGCAGTGAGCCAAACGATGGCCAGAAGGGTGGGGACAGGGCTGTCTTAAGCATATCTGGCGCCGTGGTGTTTGTTGTGGGAGAGGAAGGGAAAGGAGATTGTTAGCCGCTTTGAGACTCCTTAGGGTAGTGATAAAGTGGGATATCAAATCCAAACTCTTCTTCTGTGGGATGGTAAAGGGAAATGGCAAAGTCTTGTTTCTTCAGAGCCGTTTCTTTCCCGTATTTAGCCAGCAACAATGACTTCATGGGACGCGGGTGGCGCTGTGGGTTAAACCACAGAGCCTAGGGCTTCCCGATCAGAAGGTCGGCGGTTCAAATCCCCACTACGGGGTGAAATCCCGTTGCTCGGTCCCTGCTCCTGCCAGCCTAGCAGTTCGAAAGCACGTCAAAGTGCAAGTAGATAAATAGGTACCACTCCGGTGGGAAGGTAAACGGCGTTTCCGTGCGCTGCTCTGGTTCGCCAGAAGCGGCTTAGTCATGCTGGCCACATGACCCGGAAGCTGTACGCCGGCTCCCTCGGCCAGTAAAGCGAGATGAGCACCGCAACCCCAGAGTCGGCCACGACTGTACCGAATGGTCAGGGGTCCCCTTTACCTTAATGACTTCAAACTCCACACCTGCCAACTTTCTTGCTGGTGAAGCAAAAGGAGGTCAGGGATGGCCTCCAATTACCCCAGGATTGGCTTGATGGGGCAGCAGTGAGTACTGCAACCCGGGTGCTGTGTCTCCTTCACTGGAAGTTTTTAATAGTTATTTTCCTATTTAGTTGTCAATGTTTGTACAGATGGTGCTCTCTCTCTCTCTCTCTCACACACACACACACACACACACACACACACACAATTACTGAGTTTTGTTCACAGTCATTCAGGTAAGAAGTCCCGCAAAGATCTGTGGAACAGACAGCATCATGGAAAGTTGCATATCACAGACTCTAGTCTAGGACTGTCCAGACACATTGAACTTACAAACAGCAACATGGAGGATACAGGCTGCCTAAGAAACAGCTGCCTTCAGTAGCAGAAGCACAGGGCTATCAGTAAGAACGGACAGTGCTGGAGAACCATAAGGGACACAGGAATAACTTACGGCCCAAGAGCCTAGCAATAATGCAACCATTCAAAACTAAAACCCAGTGTTTTAACGGCCGAGGAACAAATCTAAAATACGGAACCCAGTTAGAATGATGCTCCCCTTTGTCTCCCTCTCGCTCTAAAAGGAGGCTGTGGTGTCAATCAGAGTGACCCACCTGTTGAAGACCAACAATATAGCTATTGCAGACTTGTGCAAAACGGGGAAAGGCAAGTTCAAATCCCACCTCTGACAGTGCGCAACCTTGAATATCTCTGTATCTCTTATTCCATCCTATCCCTCGGGGTTGTTATTATTCTGCAACCCTTGGGCTACAGTGGGGATGGGGAATCTGCGCTCCCCCCCCCCAGATATCCTTCGACTACATCTTCCATCAGCCCTTGGCAGCATGATGGGAGTTGTAGTCCAGCAACATTTAGAGGACCAAATCACCATCCCTGGGGTTCGTTTCTCAGAAGCAGGTAGAAGGGAAAAGAATCTGGGTACCGTTGCTCGGTCCCTGCTCCTGCCAACCTAGCAGTTCGAAAGCACGCCAGTGCAAGTAGAGAAATAGGTACCGCTCTGGCGGGAAGGTCAACAGCGTTTCCGTGCGCTGCTCTGGTTCGCCAGAAGCGGCTTAGTCATGCTGGCCACATGACCCGCAAGCTGTACGCCGGCTCCCTCGGCCAGTAAAGCGAGATGAGCGCCGCAACCCCAGAGTCGGCCATGACTGGACCTAATGGTCAGGGGTCCCTTTACCTTTACTCATTCACCACTGACAATTTTAAACCTGGGTTTGTCTAGCACCTGGGTTGCCGAAAAGAGCACAAAGAATGTAACAGGCTCTCTCCACAAAACAGGTTACCACTTTTCTTAACATAAACCTTGTAAATAGCCACAAACCTATACAGGGAAGTTTCTGCAAAGTGGAAAGGACTGCGTCAATCTCTCCATTCCCCACTCCCAGCGCAAATATTTTCTCCTTTGGTTCTTTTCTTTAAAAGAAAAACTGATTAAATACAAATCCCAATTTGCTCCCCTTTCTCTATCCACTTTCTCCATGCCAGGCTCAATTGTATATACTTCTATCGTGTTGCCTCTTAATCGTCTTTTCTCTAAAACTTAAAAGTCCCCCAAAAAGTCCCTTTCTGCCCTTCATCGTTTTGCTGGCCTTTTCCCCTGAAACTTTTCCAGCTCCTTTTTGAGATGAGGCAACCAGAACTGTATATAGTTTCGTATAATGGCATTAGGATATTGGCAATTTTATTTCTGATTCCTTTCCCTAACAATCCCCAGAATGGAATTTTCCCTTTTCACAGCTGCCACATGCTGGGCTGACGTCTTCATCGAGTTATACAAATTATGCGAATAATCTTGCACAAAGATGTGGGCTTCTGTTCTACTGCATCCCGTGTCTTGTAGTAGCCATGAGCAGATCTGAAGCATCTGCTTCTAACCACAATCCCATTTTATTTTACATTTGAACTCTGGGAACTGTAGTTCGTTTAAGCCAGAAGTGGCCCAACTTCCCCCCTTGGCCTAATCTCATGGGGGGGGGGTGAGATAGAAGAGGGATGACTAAATTGAGAGAGGAAAGGGTTTAGGTTACAGTGGTGAGATTGCTATATGCGCCAAAGATGGAAGAACCCTACCCCACTATAGAAGAATGGCTGTTAAAACTACTGGCATTGGCTGAGATGGCAAAGTTAACATGTTTAATTCAGAGAAAAATCCTTACGGACATTTGTTAAGGATTGGAATTTTCTTATGGACTTTTTGCTTGGAAGAGAAAATGAACTTGTAATATCTGGATTTGAAGATTGAAGAAATACTGGTTTATAGAAGATAGAATGGTTCAGTGTTAGAAACTGAGATAGGAAAGGTGGAAGCTAAATGGCACCTTAAACCGAGGTTATGGGCACAGCAACGGAATGTCTAGGCACGCTTTTTTATAAGAATGCAAAGCTGAAAATGAATAAACTGCAGCTAAAATGTTATGTTCGTTTTTCACATGGCCCAGTCCTTCTCCTGCCCGCCCCCCTAATATTCTTAAGAGGGTCTCTTCTCCAGTCTTCAGAGTAGCTGGAAGTGGGGAGGCAGAAAAAGATCGTCCTTTCCTTCCACTCTGCAGTTGTAATCTGAAATCTTCGGCGCAGTACTGCGCCCGGAGCTCAGAAACTGCTCGCCCTAATGAAATTCCCTGTTGCAAAATGCGCCTAGAACAATGGGAGTTTTGAACACTAGAATTGGTTGGGTCTTAAGGAATGAATATCATATGTAGCTGCAGGACAGAGAGCCAGAAGTCCTTTAATTTTCTTCTTTAGTTTTTTCTTTCTTTTCCTTTTCTCTTGCTTTCTGTTTCCTTAGGATTCTCCTCTCCTTGTCTTTTCTTCCTTCTGACTTTGTTCTCTTTTAGACTAAGCAACTGCTTTATCTCTGTATATCGTGCAAATATACTTTGTAATGGGGGGTGTTTTTGTATATCTTTGAATAAGCATCAATAAATTTATTTGTTAAGAGAAAGGAAATGGGGTGCTTAATCACTTTTGTCTCCAAAGCCCCCAAACAAAATTACCCCAAGGGAATGTGGCGCTTGACAAAAAACTATTTCCCACTGCTGGTTTCAATTATAGCCCGTGAGGAAAATTAACCATGGATTTGTCCTCATTTGTTTGAACAAACCAGTTTGAACTAACCAGAGTTCCTCTACGTTCAGACGTAGCAGGGAACTCCAGTAAGCTTAGGGTTGTGTCTGAAAAGTCCCCAACACAACAATGGCCATAAATATGATGCAGATCAAACCCTCACTGCAACACAACTTGCAAGAACCGAAAATTAAATTAAATTAAGAATAGAACTTTAGCCACAAGCAAGCATTTAAGTTTCCATAGCTGGACAAGCATTTCCTTAAAAACAAAGTCAAAGTTGATTAAAAACAGTTGTAAGCTAGTTCCAGAGTTCTAGGAACCCCTACCAACCTGACATTTCTTAAACTGGGTTTCAGTTTCAAAGTCATTAATTCCACTTCTCAGCTATTTACAATCTTCAGTGCTGGAAGTCAACACAGCAACCTGTCATTTGATCCTCCTTCTCATGTCTTTAATTTTTCTTTTCAGCCTCCTGCAATCTTGAACCAAAGCTTTTAAAACTTCTTATCCACTGTGCAAGCTCTGTATCTTGGGCTCGAGTTCAAATTTTTACTAAAAAATTAAAAAACAAACAAACAAAAAAATACAGTAAGACAACATTAAGGGTCTGACAACTGCAAAAGCCAGCAAGTTCAAACTTAAAAAGTTCTCACTGAATCTACTTCCCAACTGCAAATGAGCAGAACAGGAAGACCAATTAAGTGCTGATGGAAACAAGGCATTGTTTAGACCAGGCATAGGCAAACTGCGGCCCTCCAGATGTTTGGGACTACAATTCCCATCATCCCTAGCTAACAGGACCAGTGGTCAGGGATGATGGGAATTGTAGTCTCAAACATCTGGAGGGCTGGAGTTTGCCTATGCCTGGTTTAAGTCCCTGCTGCTTTAGGTTAAGTTAACACCTATCTATAGAGTGAGCTAATCCCCCCCCCAAAAAAATGACCCCTGAATTTTTGAATTGTATTGATATTGATGCTGCATTTTATGTTGTATTTTATGCTGTTTTTAAGACGCATTTTAATCAATGTTTTATATTTGCTGTTAGCCTCCCTGAGCCCGGTTTTTAAACTGGGAAGGGCGGGGTACAAATAAAAATTTGTTGTTATTATTATTATTAAACACAAAAGTTAGAAACAACAACACACACACTTTTTCATGTTGGTTGAAGATTGTGGCCAGTGCACTTGAGCCTATCTTCTAGAAGGAAAACAGGAAGGAAAATAGTGCAAGGCAAGAACTGCTGAATGGCCCACGCTCACCGAGAGGAGCAAACTGTGATTGACAGCAGAGGGTGACCTTAGCTTATGTTATCATCTGAAAAGCAATTTCTTTGTAAGGTCTGCAGAACACATTTGGGAGGGGCAGCAGCGATGTTTAAAAATGACGTCGCGTGTGCATGTGTGTACGTTTATTAATATATACAACTCAACAGTACTTGGAGGGGCTGGGTAGCGATTTCATAAATGCACTAAAACGTGCCGTACGAACTGGGAGGCACGTGAAGACACAGCACATGACCTTCGTAAGTTTACTGCAGCTGTAGGAACTAAAGATCCAGTGAGAAGGCTTAACTTTGAATTTCCTGTACATAGGGAATGACGTTAAACCAGGCATAGGCAAACTCCGGCCCTCCAGATGTTTGGGACTACAATTCCCATCATCCCTGACCACTGGTCCTGTTAGCTAGGGGTGATGGGAATTGTAGTCCCAAACATCTGGAGGGCCGGAGTTTGCCTGTGCCTGAGTTAAACCCTTAATGTCTTCCAAATGTATTTTTAATTATGTATCTAACAATGCAATTATTAAACCGCCTTTAGTCTACTGAGCACTGATGGAGCAGGCCACTAGCATAACCCTACCATGCATGTGTATATGATCCAAGGCTAATATTTAACCACTCTCACATTCTTTTGTAGTGTTTAGGGCACTGTCAAGATATTCTGCAAACCATTCAAGATATTCTGCAAACCACCCTACTGTTAACCATTTAACAGATTTTTAAAAATTAAAAACTTTTCTTGATATGTGATATTTAGTAAAAATCAAGGACAAGAACAATATTTCACCAATATACAGGGCTGGCCCAAAACATTTTGGCACCCAAGATAAACCACAAAATTGTGCCCCCCATCCCCCCTGCCAGGGAATTAAGGGTGAGTGGAATTACAATAAATTATGTGGGCTCATAACAATGATTTTATTTTCTGATTCAGAACAGATAAATCAACAAATTCCTGAAGCAAAACCTCCTCACAACAAAATTCCCACCACACCTTGATCTGACGATAGCACCCCTTATGCCCTGCTACTGCTTAGTTTTAATGCAGCACATTGGATGGTTTTATTATATTTTATTATATTCTGATTACATTCTGAACAGTGCATTGAAGGCATAATTGTAAGGCTCTTTAGCAAATGTTTTAGGCGCTATTCTAAATATTAAAACTTTGAATATTGAAAATCATATGCTTTTTTTTAAAAAAAAGTAGTTTTCTCTAAATAATAGCACAAATCCAGAGGGAGATAGGCTGCAATCCTACTACATTTCAACCACGGTATCCGACCACCTAGGAGGGTTGGGAATTGGACTTCCGCTCCTTTCTCTTGAGGCATGTCCAGAAAGTGGCAATGGCAGGTTGGTGTTTGGACCCCTGTATGCTCAGGGCTCCGTCCTCTCCCCCATGCTTTTTAATATCTATATGAAACTGCTGGGAGAGATCATCGGGGGGTTGGGATGGGTGTCCACCAATATGCGGATGGTACCCAGCTCCAGCTATGGTTTTAATCAGAACCAGTGAAGGAAGTGAACATCCTGTGTGAGTGTCTGGAGATGGTTGGAGGGTGGTCAATGGATTGAGGTTGAATCCCAACAATACAGAATTACAGTTTCTGGGAGACAGGGGGCGGGCAGGTGTGAGGGACTCCCTGGTCCTGAAAGGGGCAACTGTGCCCCTAAAGAACCAGGTGCGCAGCCTTGGGGTCATTTTGGACTCACAGCTGTCCATGGAGGTGCAGGTCAACTCTGTATCCAGGGTGGCAGTCTACAAGCTCCTTCTGGTACATTGGCTGAGACCCTACCTGCTTGCACACTGTTTTGCCAGAGTGATACAAGCTCTGGTTATCTTCTGCTTTGACTACTGCAATGCGCTCTATGTGGGGCTACCTTTGAAGGTGACTCGGAAACTACAGCTAATCCAGAATGCAGCTGCCAGACTGGTGACTGGGAGCAGCCACTGTGACCATATAACACAGTTTCTGAAAGATCTACTTTGGCTGCCGGTATGTTTCCGAGCACAATTCAAAGTGTTGGTACTAACCTTTAAAGCCCTAAATGGCCTTGACTCTGTATACCTGAAGAAGCATCTCCACCCCATTGTTCAGCCTAGACCCTGAGGTCCAGCTCTGAGGGCCTCCTGACAGTTCTCTCACTGTGAGAAGTGGGAACCAGGCAGAGGGCCTTCTCGGTAGTGGCGCCCTCTGTGTGAAATATGCGAGCTTATCTGAGTAAATATGAATAGGATTATATGGTTATATTAAGTTCCATTGAAATTAATGGGGCATAAATTAGTTGCAACTAACTGGTCCTATTGCTTTGGGTAACTTTCTCTGGATTTGGCCAATATCATTTCAACCCATGTCTGAATGGAATGAAATGCACAATTTAGAGTTAAATTTAAAAATGATTTGTATGCCACTTCTCCACAGACCACTATAATTACATAGCTCACTGCATCCCTCAGCAAATCCATGATTTGTAGGCCCAACATTTGACCTACCTTTCATTTTCTAACATCTGTTTGCAAAGTCCAAAGAATTTTTTCTTTTTTCCTCAAAACAAATGCTTGAATTCTCCTTTTTCTGAAAAATATATAAATGTCAAAAAAGCACAACACTTATCAGTAACCCTATAAATTAGAAACCAGCAAGTGTGTGAAATGATGGGTAACATAACAGAACGGAGTCCCATGTTTTCACGTCTATAGAAGTTATCGTGCACAAATGTCTTAGGATTCTTAATCTTGTGGGCACTGCCTTTTTCAGAGGCTGGATTTTAGTTTACTTTTGCTTTAACATGCAATGAACTATGAGGTTTTTTTTGTTTGTTTTGAAATTAACATGCATTATGCAAACATTTAAAAACAAATACTTTTTAGAGATGGCATTGCTGGCACACAACATATGCTAGACACTTAGAAAAGTCTTGCACTCCTACTTGTGATATGTTCCCTGTGGTCTCTTAATTTCATCCCACTAGGCTACCAATTCTTCCAAGCACCTGAAGGTTGTAAATCATTTATCACTGACTGCTTATATGTCTGGGTGCTTTAAAAACAACGATAACCTGGGTGAATCTCTTATTCCAAGTAGTTATTTAAAGCGCTCCAGATGTTAGCTTCCTCTTTTGCAAAAGCTCCACAAAATGTAGGAAAACAGCTAACGGACAAGATACCTGTTGTTACGGAGCCTAGGAGGTACTTGATGGTACTGTCATTGTGTTCATGTTAGCAGCAAGCAAGCAGAGCAAGAGGCACAGTTGACACCTGTCTTGTGAGTGTCTGTCTTGCAAGTTGCCTGCAAAGGCACTTCAATGACTGGATAAAGCAGACATCTGGGAGTGCCCCTGGATTAACATGTGCAAATGCGTTCTAAGTATGTCTGCATAGGATCCAATGTAATTCTCTGCCTGGTGGCTCATTTCTGTATCTAAGAAACATCATGCACTTCAGGGGGTTCGACTTCATGAGCCCTGGAAGCAACTCCCAACTCTACAAGTTTATGGCTCTATCGGGTAGGTAACCTAAGGCCCGGGGGCCGGATCTGGCCCAATCACCTTCTCAATCCGGCCCACGGACGGTCCGGGAATCAGCGTGTTTTTACATGAGTAGAATGTGTGCTTTTATTTACAATGCATCTCTGGGTTATTTGTAGGGCACAGGAATTTGTTCATTCCCCACCCCCCCAAAAAAATTTAGTCCGGCCCCCCCACAAGGTCTGAGGGACAGTGGACTGGCCCCCTGCTGAAAAGTTTGCTGATCCGTGCTCTATCTGCTTTCAAGATTTAAAACGAAACATTGAGAGGGTAGCACAGAGCAGAGACGGCCAACTGAATGCCCATAGCTGCCAGGTTGGTGGCCCTTGTGTTGTTGTTGTTTGGAATTAGAAGTCGCTTCCGTCACACTTTTCTGAATTTGGGGTGGTCAATGGGTGGGTACATGATTGTGTGTGCATGACTGAGAGGGATTTGCTTGGACAGACAGAGGGAGGGGGGGTTGGGTAGTTTGTCACTATGCAACGTGTGAAAGTGTGTAAGTGTGAGAGAGAAATTGTGTGTCTGGGTTTGTGTGTGTTTGTTTTCCCCCCGGAACTGGAGAATGTTCCGTTATTTGAGAGCAACAGTGTGTGTGTGTGTGTGTGTGTGTGTGTGTGTGTGTGTGTAAAAGCAATACAGTGGTGCCTCGCAAGACGAAAAGAATCCGTTCCGCGATTCTCTTCGTCTAGCGGTTTTCTCGTCTTGCGAAGCAACCCCATTAGCGGCTTAGCGGCTTAGCGCTATTAGCGGTTTAGCGGCTATTAAAGGCTTAGCGGCTGAACTGCTAAAAGGCTATTAGCGGCTTAGCGGCTTAGAAAAAGGGGGAGGCGGGAAAAAAATGGCAGGACTCGCAAGACATTTTCGTCTTGCGAAGCAAGCCCATAGGGAAATTCGTCTTGCGAAGCAACTCAAAAACGGAAATCCCTTTCGTCTAGCGGGTTTTCCGTCTTGCGAGGCATTCGTCTTGCGGGGCACCACTGTACTGTGTGGTGTACACAAATCAGGACTAGGACGACACAGACTACTTCCCACGACAAGCATAAGGTAGTTCAATGACCGTAAAAAGGGAAAGGTAAAGGACCCCTGACAGTTAAGTCCAGTCACGAACAACTCTGGGGTTGCGGCGCTCATCTCGCTTTACTGGCCGAGGGAGCCGGAGTTTGTCCGCAGACAGTTTTTCCGGGTCATGGCGAAACCAGAGCAGCGCACAGAAACGCCGTTTACCTTCCCACCGGAGTGGTACCTATTTATCTACTTGCACTTGACGTGCTTTCAAACTGCTAGGTTGGCAGGAGCTGGGACTGAGCAACCGGAGCTCACCCCGTCACAGGGATTTGAACCACCAACCTTCCAATCGGCAAGCCAGGAGCTCAGTGGTTTAGACCACAGCGCCACCCAAGTCAATGACTGTACTCTTATCTAATTTAGTTATGCCATGCCCTGCATTTGTGACTGGCACCCAAAGCATTCTCAAAATTCACAATGTGCCCACCGGTCCAAAAAAAGTTTGCGACTCCCGACACAGAGCTGCACAACACGCAATACCATGCAGAAGAACACTCTTGTAAGGTTTCTTCTGCCATCCCACTAAAATATGGAAAACACTACAAAGGCATTTATCACTGCAAGTAAGGAGAAGTCATGGTCTTACTGATCCTTTGAAAGTTCAGCTGAGATCTCCAATCTACTTCCACAGATTTTTGAATAAAAGACTGAAAAGCACAAGTATAATTTTACTTACATTTATGTTTTGGCTAAGATACGGCCACATGAAAGCAGGGTCTCTTCAAGGGTATTCCAAATTCCTTCCCAAAATTTTCAGATAAATAGCACAAAGGAACCAAGAAGAGATAAATAAAAGGAAGCAAAGGTTTCCCCACTATTGCCAACAAAAGAATGGGGCAAGACCTTCATACACCCGTACCCATCAATCACAGCACTCTATTTGTTTCTCTTGGCATCATTTCCTAAAAACCGGCGCTCATCCTATCACCTCAGAACAAGTTCGAACACACCTTGAACAGAGGGTTGGGTTTTTTAAAAAAAAATGAATAACTTTAAACATATTGAACTATTTGTTTTCACTGTGAGGAATAATGGCATCCACCAACTATTAAGACAGGGGGATTAAGTCCCCACCTGCTCAACGCTATTCCCGTCAATCAGCTGATTTGAATAATTACGGCTACACTGCAATGCCTGAAACAGATTCAGACATGCAAACTGGTTCTAGAGCTGCCGAGTTTGATCAGGGTCTACATCTGGGTTTCTACATCTATGACTCCAGCAGAAATGCTAGGGAGCAGTGGAATGGCATCTTGAAGGATCATATTATTATTACACAGGACAATCCTAGCTTGTTTTACAAAAAAACCCCAACAAATAAAAACAAGCCGAGTACTTCATCTGCGTTTTCCCAAAATCAAACCCGTTCTGCACTTCTGATTTTGAGCGGCACATTCGGAAGCCACCTCAGAGCTAATTCGTCTGATCTGAGGGAGACAAACTTTGCTTTTCTTGAGACATCAACTTCTGAAGGTTTTCTCTGTAGTAAAGCTTTCGCTGTGATTCATCTCCCCCTTAGCTAAACTTGCTATTTGTGGCAGAATAGATAAAAAGAAAAATGTTGCGTTTAAAATCATCTAGTATCCGCCCACCATTAGTCCCTGATGCCATCTATTAAAATCTATTAGTCCCTGATGCCATCTATTAAAATCACTTACAGCCCAGCGTTCTGAAGCTTTCTGTGATTAAGTGCTAGAGGATATTCTTGTGAAACTGGGCCCTGCAATTCTGCAAATCAGAGGAAGTGGGGTAGAGTCAGGCAACCGTGTACGAAATGGAAACGAACTAGAATTTACTATGGAACAGCCTTTGTAAGCACAAAGGTAAAGGTAAAGGGACCCCTGGGGTTGACCAGGCCCCTCAACGGTGATGAACCAAGGTCCACAGGTAAAGGTAAAGGGACCCCTGACCATTAGGTCCAGTCGTGACTGACTCTGGGGTTGCGGCGCTCATCTCGCTTTATTGGCCGAGGGAGCCGGTGTACAGCTTCCAGGTCATGTGGCCAGCTTGACTGGCGACACTGCTGGCGAACCAGAAGCCCCTTCTGGCGAACCAGAGCAGCGCACAGAAACACCGTTTACCTTCCCGCCGGAGCGGTACCTATTTATCTACTTGCACTTTGACGTGCTTTCAAACTGCTAGGTTGGCAGGAGCAGGGACTGAGCAACGGGAGCTCACCCCGTCGCGGGGATTCGAACCACCGACCTTCTGATTGGCAAGTCCTAGGCTCTGTGGTTTAACCCACAGCGCCACCCGCATCCCACTTTGTATGCGTTTGTAAGCATAAAAAAAGGTAAAGGTACCCCTGCCCGTACGGGCCAGTCTTGCCAGACTCTAGGGTTGTGCGCTCATCTCACTCTATAGGCCGGGAGCCAGCGCTGTCCGCAGACACTGCCAGGTCACGTGGCCAGCGTGACAAGCTGCATCTGGCGAGCCAGCGCAGCACACGGAACGCCGTTTACCTTCCCGCTGGTAAGCGGTCCCTATTTATCTATTTGCACCCGGGGGTGCTTTCGAACTGCTAGGTTGGCAGGCGCTGGGACCGAACGACGGGAGCGCACCCCGCCGCGGGGATTCGAACCGCCGACCTTTCGATCGGCAAGCCCTAGGTGCTGACGCTTTTACCCACAGCGCCACCCGCGTCCCGTTTGTAAGCATAGTGCCCTCCAAATGTTTTGGACTGTAATTCCCATATTCCCCCATCAACCACAGGCACCAAGGGTCAGGTCTGATGGGAGCCCTGGATGGCACCAGGTTGACGGAGGCTGCTGTCATATGCGCCATCTAATCGCTGTTCGAAATTAGCCAGGTGCCAGGCGCATTTTGCACCTGGCTATCACAGCCTTTTGCAGGGAACCAGAGCAGCGCACAGAAACACCGTTTACCTTCCCGCCGGAGCGGTACCTATTTATCTACTTGTGATGATGCCTGGGCGCCAGGATGAAGTTCAGGAACCAAAATGCTTTTTCTGGGCTGTCTGGGC